CTATCCTGACTCATAGTGACCCTGTAGGGCAGGGAAGAGCTAATCCTGTGACTTGAGTAGAAAGCTCATCGTTCTCCTGCAGAGCAGTTGCTAGATAGTTTTGAACTGCTAAATGTGTAACCACTACACCACTAGTAATACAGAAGTCAACAGCTAACTGCTCCCTGTCCTCTACTGATAGTTTGTTACAATATTTCTCTTTGCTCCTCACTCTCTCTCTTACCATGTGGCTTATTGGTTCCACTCTGCTTCATTTTACTCCTCAAGTGATCTGTTACCACATTTGCAAAAGCTTTGAGAGACCCTAGACTAAAATAAATTTCAGATGTCGATTACCCGTTAATTGAGTCTTTCCAATCAACTTCAGGTCCTTACTATCATCAAATCATGAAAAAGAGAGTATCTAAAGGAAATATTACGTAAGGGAGAGGGGTTACAAAATTTCCCTGCCTGGCACTTAGAGTGAAAAACAAAACAAAAGGGTGACATAGAACAAAGCTTCTGAAACTGTGGGTTGCAACCCCATATGGGGTTGTGTAATTGAATATGGAGGCTACAAAAATTTTATCAACGGTAAAAGGTTTCTGGATATGCAAAGACCAAAAATTAATTGAAAATCAAATAGGTACTAAATCAGAGGTATTTCTGGCAGTGCTTGCCTGTGTGATAAGTTTCTCAACAGAAAAGGAATCATGAGTGGAAAAAGTTTAAGCAGCCCTGGATGTGGACAAATAAATGTATTATGTTTAACTTGAGTTACTCCTTCTATTCTAGCCCTAAGTTAATCAATGGGGTATGTTACAGTACTGAAGTATTTTTTCTTCAAGTTTCCCACATAGTTTCCTATGATCTTAGGATTTACCTTTCTCCAATCTTAACACCTCTATGTGTATATTGCATGCTATTCCATTCTCTCATACACATTTCTCTACCTATCACCATCAAGCCGTTCATAAATTACTAACACTGCCTTCTTTCCCCACCCAACACCCACTATTTCAAACCTTAAAACCAGCCTACCAAAACAATCTTTCTCTTTAACTCTTGATTCTATCTCAATTCCCTTTTTCTATTTAATATAACACTAAATTAATTAGCATTTGATTATACTCACTTTACAATCTTTAATCACCCCCCCCTTCCTACTACCTACCTCCTTCATATTTCTCTAGCTCGTCTTTTCATTTTTATTCTAAGCACTTAATATAGTCCCCAGAATGTGCAGTGGTCACTCAATACACTCCATTTATACCAGCAGGTCGTGAAAATAAGACGATAAACATAGTATGTGATAGATAAAAATGCTGGTGTGTGAGCTGTCAGTTACTGGAGAAAATGTGGGCATGGAGGGAGAATGAGGTTAAAAAAAAAAATCACAAAAATCGCAAAATATGCTGCAAGACAAAAGTCAAGAGAACTCCCTGCATCACTCTGAGGCTTTCATAGAAGGGTAGCTGGGAAGCCTCCCAGGATGACTACCAGTCTCCAAAATGACCTTCTATGATTATGTGCGGTGACCTTTTGAACTCACACTGAATTACGGCACACACCACTTTTCCTCCCAGGCTGCCTGATGAAGAAAATACTCTTTCTGTTCAAAAAAAGACCAAACCATCAAGATCACGAAAACCCTTGAACGTGCGAGCGTGTACGTGGGGGGCTAGCAGGTGTTCGGAAAGATGGAGGGCGGTGCGAAGGAGGAAGCCCCTCCCCTGCGGGAGCCGGGCTCTCCGCCGCAGCTCGCGCCCCCGGAGACCCTCCTCCCGCTTCAGACCGCAGGCTTCCAAGAGACCACGGCCCTCTCCCCGGGTTCGCAGCCACGCCTCCCCCGCTGGGCCGGCACCCCCGCTCGCAGCCCCTCTCCCGGGGCCGGGGGCCGCGGAGGCCGCTTCCCCGAGGCCTGCGAGAAGCTGCCAGCAGAAACCTCCGCCGAAGACCAAGGGCCCGAAAAGATGTTGCAAAGAGCTCGACAATTCTGTTACCTGGTCGCAACCCTGGGAACGGACATGGCAGCTGCAGTAGCTGCCCTTCGGCCCCACAAGGTCTGCTTCAGCGCCACTGACACCGAGGCCGCCGCCATGTTGCCGCCGGCGGACGCCAGGACGAAAGTACGGGTCGCCGCGAGGAACGAACTTCCTTCGCGCGCACGTTGCTGCCGCCGCAATTTCATGGAAAGGCTCTTAGTTTGTTTTGTTGTCATTTTGAATTTAGAAGGGGGGCGGGCGTTTTGGTTGAAAGTGTAAGAAAGAAAATGGGTGGAAGGGGAAAAACGCAAAACTATA